CTCTGCCCTCCCCCCCCCCGGGGGTGCAGGAGTGGCTGCTCCCACCCCCCCGGCTCCCACCCACGCCTGCACCGCTCTGCGCTTCACCACCCAAAATACCCTATTTCTGCCATTTTTCTCATATCAAAGCTGGAGCTGTGCCCCAAGGCTGGGGCCTTACTGGGACAGTGTCACTGGGGTCACCTTTGCCAGCCTGGCCACACGGAGGGTTAACTGCAGCTTTGGCAAACCAGACCTGGTCCCTTACTCCTTACTCGAGTCCTCCTCAGCAGTGACAACAACCCTTGGCTCCCTCCTCACCCCATCACTCCCCATGAGAGGCTTGTCCTGGCAAGGCAAGGTCCTGCAGCACAGCTGGGAGGGCCAGGGGACCACAGCCTTGGTGTCCAGCCATCACCGTCCCTGGCATCGTCACCCCTGCCATCACCATCACTGCCATCACTGTCCCCACCAGTCAGACCTTGCCTGCACCCAACTCGGCAGCAGCTCTGGGCCTCAGCGTTGGTGGTGTCACCATCCCCAGTCCCTCCTGCAAGCTGCCAGCCCTGCAGTGGGGCAATGGCCCCACACTGGTGACACTGTCCCAGTCCTTCCAGTGATGGGTCCATGTCAGGGTATGCCAATGGGTGCAATAACATGCCCCATCCAGCACCGCATCCCCACGGCCCCTCCAGCCAGGCATGGTGCTGCACACTGTCCCTTCCTGCCCCTCTTCCTGGCTGGCTTCCCTGGCCCCACCACAGCCTGTTTGGGCAGCACTCGGAGAAATCACCGTCCCTGCCATCGTCACCCCTGCCATCACCATCACTGCCATCACTGTCCCCACCAGTCAGACCTTGCCTGCACCCAACTCGGCAGCAGCTCTGGGCCTCAGCGTTGGTGGTGTCACCATCCCCAGTCCCTCCTGCAAGCTGCCAGCCCTGCAGTGGGGCAATGGCCCCACACTGGTGACACTGTCCCAGTCCTTCCAGTGATGGGTCCATGTCAGGGTATGCCAATGGGTGCAATAACATGCCCCATCCAGCACCGCATCCCCACGGCCCCTCCAGCCAGGCATGGTGCTGCACACTGTCCCTTCCTGCCCCTCTTCCTGGCTGGCTTCCCTGGCCCCACCACAGCCTGTTTGGGCAGCACTCGGAGAAGCAGGTCTGGCTTTTGCTGAGCCCAAATCCATGCTCAGGTGCTGGGGGGCAGGGGGAGCCAGGCCAGCAGAGTCTGAAACAGCCCAGCACCAATGGACCCCAGGAAAGGCAACCCCAGTGGAGCTGTGAGTGGTACACACTGACACGAGCAACGTTCCACCAGCACCAGACGCCTCTGCAGAGGAGCACCCCCAGTCCACTTCTCAGCAGCAGCTGCTGCCGGAGCCAGAGGGTCCCAAGTCCGCCTGCTTCACCCATCTCAGTCCAGCTCAGACACCCACCCGTGGGCCAGATGGGGCTCCTGGAACTCATGTCCATGCCAGGCTGGTGCTGCCAAATCCCCATCATGCGCCCAAAGTCCACCTCGAACTAAAGCAAAGCCTCCTTTGATCCACCCTGGCCCTTTCCTCCTGCTCTACAGTGGCCACTGCAGGGGAGGAAATACGGGGTCTTGCACCAGGGGGTCCCCACCCCCCACACCACATAGGTCACTGGCTCTTGGAATCTGCTGCCGGTGTCCCCCATTACAGCTTTGTCCTGCTCTGGTAGGACCAGTGAGGAAAGCACAGGCATAGCCCAGGATCTTCCCTCCCTCCCTTTCTCCTCCACTTAATGGGGCAGAAAAAACAATTAGCTTCATAAATCACAATGATGTGGCTGGGGACTCCTTGCGGGCACGGGTGTGGGCAGGGGTGGCTCTGCTTCCCCCCTCATATCTGCCTCAGCAACTGCCTCAGTGCATCACAACACCCATAACCTCCTTTCAGACTCCCTGAGGGGACTTGCCCAAGCTCCCCCAGAAGAACA